CCAAGACGCTCGAGGAGGCCTCCCTGAGCATACCGAGATGGCCCCAGCTGGCAGAATTCAGCGATGTCTTTCTAGTTTTCGAAAGGTTCTGGTGTTCTCGCCTTTTCGGCATCCCGACGCTCCAGGATGCCACCAAGATCGGCACGAAAAGCCCCCAGGAGATTTCCAAAGGGCCCCAACACAGTTCCAGAGGACTCCAAGACGGCCCAAGAGGCCCCCAGGACGGCTCCAAGAGGGTGCCAGCACGGCAGCCCAAAGAACATGTCGAGCCCTCGGTCCCAGACGACCCCAAAAAGGTCCCCACAAGGCCCCCAGAAAGCCCGCAGAGACCCCCTAGAGGATCCAAGGAGGCCCCCCCGATGCTCACGAGGCCCCAGATCTGTCGCCCAGAGGCCTACGAGAGCGCTGCGAAGAGGCCCCACGAAGCATCCCTGAGCACTCTGCCCCACGTCAGCGTCGTCGTCGCCATCGCCCCCCTTCACCTTCTCAATTTGCGAAGGGCGGGGCAGTCGCCGCTACTGAATAGCGGCGGAGGGAGGAGGAGGAGGAGGAGGAGGAGGAGGAGGAGGAGGAGGAGGAGGAGGAGGAGGAGGAGGAGGAGGAGAGGAGGGAGGAGGAGAGGAGGAGGAGGAGGGAGAAGGAGGAGGAGGATGAGGAGGAAGAAGAGGATGAGGAGGAGGAGGAGGAGGAGGAGGAGTTCAGTTACCCTAGGAGGAGGAGAAGGAGGAGGAGGAGGAGGAGGAGGAGGAGGAGGAGGAGGAGGAGGAGGGGAAGGAGGAGGAGGAGTGCACGTACTCAAAGAGAGACGAGACGAGGGCAAGCGGGCAACACACGAGAAGAGGGCAAACGTTCGTTTCGCTCCCTGCCTGTTGCCACTGCGCCTACCTCAGGATGCACCTTGTACACTCGACGCTCTGGCCGCCTGCATGGGGCCATACACGGTGAGCGGAAGGATGTCAGTCATGAGCTGCATTCGGGAACGAGGGAAACGAAGGGATAGAGGGAAGGGCGGGGGACGAAGGGCAGAGAGGAGTGTGCCAGATGCGGGGGGGGGGAGGGCGCACGGCTACGTTGACGGGCGGCCACGGGGGCCTCACGTGCATCATCAGCCACGCGAGGCGGCCGAGCGGCGTGAGCATCATCATGCAGAGGTTCAGTGACAGCCGCGCTAGGCGGCAGGACGGCGCGAGCAGCGTCGTGCAGGCCGTCTTCTAGATCCACCAGGTCTTCTGCCAGATCAGCGAGAGCCGTGCTGCAGAAGCGAAGTTGAAGAAGGTCGGAACGCCGAAGACACGGAGCGCCAGGAACAGCCCAATCATGTTGAGCTTCTTCCGGAAGGGCGTGGGCAGCAGCAGCGGCTCCACTTTCGTTGTCAGGACGATCTTGTCCCGGAAGAACGCCACGCGAGGCGGCGGCAGAAACGCGATCAGGATGTGTGGGTGAACGTGTCGAAGACCAGGCGGCGCCGCACGTCCACCACGAAGATCTTCCCAGCCTCCGAGTACGTCGTGTGCGTGCCGATCTGCCACGTGCCAGCCAGGAGGTAGACCAGGCGGCGCTAGGCGACAGTAGGTTCTCCGAACTGGGCGGCGTCGGCTGCAGCGGCCTCAGGAACGAGCAGGGGGACATCAGCAGCGAGAACCTCACCAGTAGCACGTTGGTCATCATATGCGTCGGCAGCAGCTTGAGCGGCGAGGTCATCACCAGCACCACGTTGGGCGTCAGCGGCGAGGTCTTCACCAGAGACACGTTGGTCATCATGTGCAGTGCCAGCGGCTTGAGCGGCGAGGGTATCACCAGCATCGCGTTGGGCTTCAGCGGCGAGAACTTCACACATCCGACGTTGGTCAGCATGTGCATTGCCAGCAGCTTGAGCGGCGAGGTCATCGCCGGCATCACGTTGGGCTGCAGCGGCGCGAATTTCACCAGTGTCATGTTGGTCAGCACGTGCATTGCCAGCAGCGTGAGCGGCGAAGTCATCACCAGCATCACGTTGGGCGCGTTGGTAAATGTGAGCATTGCCAGCAGCTTGAGCATGAGGGTCTTCACCAGCATCCGCAGCGCCAGGCCCAGCGGGAGTCCGAAGCCCTTGGATGAACGCTGCGACCTGCTGGACCTGCGACCCGTCGCACACGCCAACTGGGCAAAGCGGGGTGCGAGCAGCTGCATGCAGGCAGAAACAGCGAGCGAGGTCTGCAATGGCGCGAGCGAACACTGCAACGATGTCAGGATGTCGAGCCGCTCGCACTTCATCCGCCATGGGACTGTCAACAGCCCGTCCGTCAGCAGCAGATTGAGGAGCTGGACGCGCAGCCGCAGCGGGTCTACGGAGCAAAAGATGTAGACGCAGAACTTGTGGACCGCGGAGGTGCCGGAGGCCGTGCTTTTGCATGAAACGGCAGCGGCGAAAGTGACGGGCCGCCTCGGATCGAGTATGTGGCATCTGCACCAGCGCCAGCAGCGGCAGAGACAGCACCAGCAGCACGGTCGGGATCACCCACGCGTACCAGAGCATGGACATGTGGAGCCGCGGGCACTGGCAGCGGTCGGCGCGGCGCTCGGCCAGGGGGCCTTAGGCGAAACAGCAGTGCAACTTATTGCGGCCCAAGTCCGAGATCCCACGGAGGGGACGGACTTGAACCAAAATGGCTACGGAAGGAGGAGGAGGACGAGGAGGACGAGGGGAAGGAGGAGGAGGAGGAGGAGGAGGAGTACAGGTGGGGGAGGAGGAGCAGCAGAGAGCGAAGAGATGGGGAGACGGATGAGAGAGGGGCGCGAAGAGGCGGCGAGGAGCGGGGCGAAGACCGGGGGGGGGCAGCGGGAGTGACGACGGTAAGGCAGCGCGGCGCTTGCGGTGTCGAGCGCCAACCCGCACGGAGGCGCGCGAGCGGCCCGCCGCGGGCCCGGGGCCACGGGGGTCACCGTGTGGCCGCGGCCACCGCGACCGAGACGCTGGCCGTCGTGCCCTCGCCGACGCCGTTGACTGCGCGGACTTCGTACGTCCAGGTCTTGGTGGAGGGCGAGGGGGAGCGCGAGGGGGGTCGCTGCAAGGCGAGGGGGTGAGGTCGAGAGGTGAACGTCAGGGGGAGGCGTGAACGTGAGGGGGAGGGCGCGGGGTGAACGTGAGGGGCAACGTGAGGGAGAGCAACGCTGGCAGGAGCCCACGCCGCCGAAGTGGTCGTGGTGGGGGTCACCGCGTAAAGGGGAGTAAGTCCCGAGCGGAGCAACATGCACCACGACCACGCCGAAACCAACGACGAAGACGGAGACAAGGAGCGCTGACGATCCGCACCGCAGTACGGATTTGGGAAAAGGGCCCACCATGCTCTGGGGGGGTGGGGCAGCCGTACTCAGGTCAGGGAGGTGCTGTGTGAGCATCGCCGAAGTCTGGTGACGAGGAGGCGGGGTGGCACACGTTGAGGCGTTCAGCCCTCGCTTGGCGGCGCGAGAGGGGGGGGGGGTGTTGGCTGTTTTGTGAGACGGCCCGGAGGATGCTCGAAGAGCCCCGATCCGCCTCAGAAGGCGAGCGGGCTGCCAAAAAACCCCACTGCCTGAGGCGAGACGTCAAGGAAGGACCGCCTCTGGGGGGAAACAGCCACCTGGAATCCGCGATACATCGCCGATAGATCAACGATATGCCCCGGATCGAAGAACCGAAAGCTCTTGGGCGGGGTGAGCCATCGGGCCCCCATCGGCGATCAAGGGACGCTTGGCGGCCACTGCGTTCCCACCTGAGCAAATCTCCACCTAACGCGCCGCCGTTCTGACTCGGAGTCGCGGCGCTTTTCCTCCAATCTCGTCTTCGGAAGGGGACTCTCGGGGCTCCGTATCCATGACTAAATACTCCACACCTCTTGTTGAAAATGACGCCCTTGCGACAGAGGACCCCAAACACCATTTTACAATTCACAGTGGGGGGCCACGATGGGGGGGGGGCACAATAAGCAAACCAGTCGTCGCTCATCTGGGCAGGAATGGGGCGGGCGTATCGTGAGGCAGGGTGGTGCCCCGACGGATAGCCTGCCAGGATCGCTCCGCCCCTCTCGTGCCCAAGACGTCGCCGAGCCTTCTGGCTTGAGGCTGCCAGATCAGATCCTAATCAGGCCAGACACGTGCTTGTCAGGCTTCCTGGCAAGAGTTCTGACCTGCGGCACACACCGATAACATGCACGCTGGCCCTTTGTTGTCGAGAAAGGGTGCTGCTTGGCAGGCGGGAGAGGGGAGGGGAAGAGGGCAACTTCCACAGGAGCTGCGCAATCATGCCAAGATCTCCCCTCTCACCCTCCTGTTGACTTGAATCCGCCAGCATCGTTTTCGCCCTTGTCTCCGCCACAGAATTATGCTGCGAAGCTGCATCCTTCCTGGCATGCCGCACTTGTGTTGCTCCTGCAACTCCTTTTGCTGTGCCTCCACATCGGCGTACTACTCCTTGCTATCTTTTCTCGCATGCAGCATACCCCGCCCAAACAACACAATTAATAGGTGCATACACGACCCGCTCGAGACGTATGGCAAGACCCAGAGTAGGTCCATGCCTTTTCCGCACTCCGCTGAACTCAACAGGAGGCAGCGAAAGTAGCAGCGTCAAGTAGCGACGATTGTGCAGGCCGACGCTCAGTGGGATATGCGAAAAACCGCGCTCCAGTAGACTTCCAAGGATTCCACGAAAGTAACGACGGTTGCGCAATTGGCAGTGCCCACGACCACGCTCCTGGACACGGCGAGCCTCGGCCACAAACAGGTTCCCCGACCTCAATCTGTAAAGCGGACCGACAACCAGAGCAACTCCCGAGCCCGAAGTGGTCCTTGTTCCGGTTGTTCCGGCGTCTTCGCTGCAGCCCGGGCCGCGAGATGGCCGATTTGGGTTGGCATGACGGGGGTATGGCGACCCCAATCCACGACGTTGCCGAGTTCCCTTTGGGCCAAGCTCGGGGATATACGACGGTGGTGCGCCCATCCTCGATAGGAGTGCGTACCGATGGCCGCCTGGGGGTTCACCCCCTCATCTGAGCGGCACGAGTTTTCGGACGGAATCCAGGGATTGGGGGCGACGAATCGCCTGCAATGGCATGCGCTGTGCTTCGACTTCGCGAGAGCTGCAGATCAGGCCGCCCCCCAACACAAGCAACCCTATGTCCGCACGATGGTGCCTCATCGGGCACGAGCCCGGCATTTTTTGATTGAGCTGGGATCCCCAACTTATGAGAAAAGCAGGGAGGCATGCACTCGCACCTGGAGCATTCTTTTCTGGCAAGCAACACAACATACAACTTTACAAAACGTCTGGCGAATCGGAAATGCTCGCTGCAATGCGGCCGAGCCTCCTAGAGAGGTCCCGGTACTGCAACATTTCTGGGCTGGCGGATAAGGAACAATTGAAACATGCAGGAAAACAACGCAGGACGGCCCGCTAGTCTCAGCTCGGGGCCCTTTGTGCAGTAGAGGTGTGGCACGAGAGCTGAAGCTTCGAGGCTTTCGCGTGACAGCACCCCACGGTCCCAGGCCTACCAAAAAACGTGCGTATGGCTGTGCTCCTCTTCCCACAGCCAGACGATGCAGGTCCACTTCAAACAAAAGCACATCAACGCAGAGGCCGGAAAACCATTTCTACTGCCAGCGTGCGTGGGCAGTGCGACTTCAGGCAGCCAGCAGTGGAGGTGGCGAATTCAAATTCGGTCTGAGCTCAGTTGGCCCACGTCCGCGACCGACACTTATACAACTTGAAGACCAGGCGAGCCCGAACGGGAGCTGAGCACGCTGGCGCCTTGATACCACCCTCCCTCCCGACTCCCATCCCTCCTGTTCCTATTTCTATTGCCACCTGCTCCTACTCCCAAAACCTCCCGCCGCGATTACTTTTCACGACGCGCGGGTCCGTTTCCCACCCTCCCTTCCTATCCCCACCTGCTCCTACTTCCAACCCAGACATGCGACGTCCCGATTTTGTTCAATGCGCGGTCTCCCGAAGTCCCGACCCTGTCCCATGAACTGGTCTTTCGTCCCGAGTTGTTTTTGGACGGTCCCCAGGCCTGGCGACGGCCCCTGAAATTGAACATCGCGAAGAACCTCCCGTCCCGCTGTTTGTCAAGACGCGAACCTGTCCGCGAAAACCTCCTACCGCAATCCTGTGCTGTTTCCACGACGCGCGGGGCGACCTGGGCCCTGGACCACGCCAGCGAAGGCCGGGCCGAGGTCAGTCCCTCGGGGACAGACCGGCCGAGCGGCCGACCCTCGTGCGGCTCATCCTCGGTGTCTCGGGGACTCCGCCAGCGCCGCTGCGCGAGCTCACACGGGACGACCGGCCGCTGGCCGGGGGGGCCCGCCGGGAGCCGAGGAGGGCCGCTCCGTTCGAGGCGCCGTCGGCCCCCGCACGCCTGCGGGAGAGCCAGGAGGGCGGCAGGGGAGTGCGTGCGCGGGGGGCGTTCCAGCACAGGCACATGCGGTGCGGCCATCGTGCCACCATGGGGAGCGACGGAGGAGCGAAGGGGGCTCTTCTGGCCACGGCGGGCCTGCGCCACACGCAGGCTCCACGACGTCGGCCTCACCTCAGCGCCTTGACTGTAACGGACAGCTTGGTATCAGAAATCTGTGGGCGCGTCACTCGTCGTCGATCTTGGAGGGTCCAGATCACGATTGCCAATGGATAAGGAACCAAGGGACTGCAAACCCGAGGAGCTCCTGTCGTGGATTGGCCATGGATATCACCGCCGCTCGCATCAGATAAGGGACCCAGCAAGGTGGAGAGCCTCCTGGATACATTCCTGAACCAACGCCCCCACCGTACTTGAGGTGTCGGGGGAGGGGAAAACACGAGGCACCCGCCCCCCGCGCGTCGCGAACACAAAAAATCCCGACGGGAAGCGTTGGGAGAATTTTGCGGCCTCAGGCCCCCCGGGAAAGTCGACAAAACGGCTCGGGATGAAAGGCTGGTCGGGGGGAATGGGTCAAGACGTATCGGGGTCCGGGTTGGTCGGGCGGGTGGTAATGAGAGGTGACCTACATGGGGGTGAAGAAAAGGGCCCTGTAGAAGGGCATCATTTAGGGTCGTTTTCTCCACCCCCCATTTCGGCCACCCCCATTACAACCCGCCCGAGTCTGGGGGTCCACGTTTGGGGGGTTCGTCGCTTGACCCCAGCATGCTTACTTGCATGGAGGAAGGAGGGGGGCGCGTTGCGAGGCCTGAAAGGGAATCAGGACCACACGTAATTGCGGGACTCACTTGCATGCCTGTTCAGCCCAGCGCTGCTTGAAAAGGCGGCGGAGGGGTGGATGGGGAATGCCATACACGTGCCTGGGCCTGAACAAATAGATACCCCCTTGCAGCAAAAATCACGACGTCGGGGGTCTGGAGGGCTTGGGCCTCCCCGAGGCCCCAAGTCTGGCCGAGATCGGCGCGTGTTTTCTTCCGCTGGAGCGACAACCACGGCAACTCCGCTGGTACACTTCTGGAGGGCCGCGCGGATCTCCTGGAGGCTGCTTCCTTTTGGAACCAAGCAAGTTCGCTTGCATGGCAATTCCACCACCACCCCGCCGCCTTCTCAGACAGCGCTGGGCCCCAAAGGCGTGCATGTCAATCCCAACTTGCGCGGAGTCCACATTTCTTTCGGGCCTTGCCACGTCCCCCCTCCACCCCAACTGCTGTGTCGGCGCTACAACTCTCCCCAACACGGAGTATGGGCGTGCCCCGGCCCGTGAGAGGGATCGATAGGGGGGGGACCAGCTCAGGAGAAAAATCGGGCCCGAATCCACGACACATCGCCGACAGATCGGCGACAGGTCCCCGACACCGAACCCGCACGCTCCTGGGCGGGGCTGGCTATCAGGCCCCCGCCGGCGATCAATGGGCGATTGGGGCTTCGATGTGTTTCCCCCTGAGCCTATCCCCCCCGAACACTTCTCCCTGAGGGTGGCGCCCGGGGCGCCACCCAAAGGTGGGAGGAGGGGGGAGGGTCCGGCGCCTACCCAAGAGATCCTCGCAAGCCTCCCAGGGCTTCTCTATAATGGAAGGGCGAGGAAGGAAAGGACGAGGAGGTGGTGGACGAGGCGGGAGGGCGAGGAGGGGAGCACGAGGAAAAGGAGGGCGAGGAGAGAGAGCGAGGAGGAGGAGGGCGAGGAGGGGAGGGGCGTGAAGGGGGAGACGAGCATCGCCAGACGTGTGTTCTTTTTGTGGAGGAGGGGAGGGGTGCAGCATTGAGGACCCTCTGCGGCTTCTGGGAGGCGATTGCACGGACCCAGCTGCTTCCTCTCCCGCCCTTCCCCTCCGTGGACCATCCCCTCCCCTGGGAGGGGGCAGGGGGGAGAACGAGGAGGAACTGCATTACGCGTGTGGCCATGGACCCCTCATTAAAGACGAAGCCAGGACGAGGATAACATCGGGTGAGGATATATCAAGATACTCATATCCAGCGGTTCTGAGGGGATGTATCGGGCACCGCGGCCTGCGTTCCGGAACGCTCAGAGAGCGTCCCGCAACGCTCTGGAACGGATTTATCTTCGTCCTAGCCCGGTCCCATCGTTGCCCATCCACCTTCGGCGGTAGTCGGCAAACTTTCGGCGGAAATGGGCGGTGTTAATCACTGGTCCTTGGCCCGAAGGTTTAGACAGTAAGTTCAACAAGGGCCCACGACCGTCCTCCGTGTCGCCAAACCTCCCCATCGGAGGCGCGCCGTCTTCCCAGACCCCCAGCGTCATGGTTTATTCACAACGTGTGCCCCCGCAGATCTCGACCCGTTCCCCGGGACCACCGCTTCACCCTGAGTCATGTGTTGACGGCCTCGGGGCCCGTGGGTCGAGGGACCCCATGAGGCCGAAAAGAACAAGAAAGGAACACAAACAACAAAAACGCATGTCGTGTGTTTGTCCGCGGCGCGAGCCGAGGCATGCGATGTCCTGGTTTTCTCCACGCGCGGTCCCTGGAAGTCCCCACCCGTCCCGATCGTTCTCTGACAGTCCTGGGGCCCCGGAAGGGATCCCCGAGGGCGTGAACTGAGAAAACCCGTCTTGCTTTTTGCCGGGACGTTGCACGTCTGGTACCCGACATCGCATCGCAGAAAAATCAAGACCCGAGCCCTGTAGACCGATCTTTCTGCACCGGTCTTCGAGTCCAATTGGTATGTGATGGTCCTGGGGCCGGAACCTTGCGGGTGTGATTCCAAGAGACTCGCTGCTCTTCTCACCAGCTCTCTGCCGCCGCCCATCTGGCTCTAATCATTTTCCAAGGCCCTCGGCCTTAGAGCTACGCAGTTTGATTGAGCACCGCTCTCATACGACAAATATTGCCGCGCCGCGCCATCCATATCACAATGGTAGCTTGGAACGAGGTTCGCTATCCCGGCCCGCGGGGCCGTACATATCAACGACGACGTCCGCGACGTTATCGTCCGTATTAGAATCGAAAGTCTGCGTCTTCCCGGTGATCTGCGTCACCCAGCTGCTGCGCAGCACGCACGCCAGCGTCCGCGACGCTAGCACCGACAGCAACGCCTACTACGCCTACCCTGCCAACTCCCACGCCAGCGTCAGCGACGCCAGCAGCAACGCTTCCTACGCCTTAAATCAGGACGGACGCGCCTACCGGGTCAATGGGGCGCGCGGTACCTTACCCTGGCCGCCGGGACCCAGAAGAACTGGGACATCTCGTCCTGCGACGCGATGACGGCCTACCTGCAGTCAGGGAACATCGAGAGGCTGCTGCTCCTGCGCATGCCGGCCGAAAACCTGCCGCCCGGGGCGCAGCCTGGCGAGATCGCGATGGCCACAGGCGCGATCTACGGGGCGCGCGACGACGGGAGGCAGCGGTGCCTCCACGCCCAGAAGGTCTTCGCCGAACACGGCCTCGTAGAGAGCAAGCTCGGGAAGGGCCTTTGCTACTTCTACGACGAAGGTGGGCTCGCCGCGGCTATCCATTCCCACGTGGACGGCTTCCTGATCGCCCAGCGCAACAACTCCACCAAGTGCAAGTCCACTATTGCATCGCTGGGGAAGAAGCTACACCTCAAGCAGGTCGACGGGGTCATCAAGTACTGTGGACGTAATATAACTAAGCTCGACGAGGAGTTTCGGGTGACCCAGGCCGCCGCCGCCTCGCAGGTGGACTACATCGACCTGAAGGCACCGAAAGGCCGCAATGCCGAGGATCGGCCCACCGCCACCGAGGTGACGAGCTACCGCCACACGCTCGGGCAACTGCTATGGCTAGCAGTCCAGACCCGGGTGGACATCGCCTGCCCCGTAAACATTGCAGCCCGTCGCGCCAACGTCGCCACCGTGGCCGACGCAAAGACCCAAAACAAGACCGTCGCCTACGTGCACTCGACCGCGAACTTCGCGATCGTGCTGAAGCGCAGGCTCGTCGATCTGATGACGGCCACCACCGTGTGCTTCAGCGACGCTGCGTTCGCCGACGTGGACGGGGTCAAGAGCCAGTGGGGCATGGTGATAAGGCTCACTCACCGCCCGCGCGATGTCGTCGGCGGCCGCTACGACATTTGCCTACCCGTGGCCTGGCACTCGGGCACTGTCAAGAGGTCGGTGAAATCGACCCTCGCGGCCGAGGGCTACGCGACCCTCGAGGGATCGGAGACCAACATCTGGTTCCGCCAGCTGCTGACCGAGGCCTACAACCCCAAGATGGCGCTCAAGCAGATCGACGTCCTCGCCGACAAGCGCCCTGGAGAGATCTACAGCGACAACAAGGGTCTCGTGACGCACATCGCCTCTGACGTGGGCCAGTCTACCGACAAGCGATTCCGCATCGTCGCCTCCATGATCAAGGAGGCCATGCACCCCAACAGCGTACTCAAGCTCAGCTGGATCCCGACCTGGGCCATGGTCGCGGACGCTTTGACCAAAGCGATGGAAGCCGGCGCCCTGCTGGCCTTCTTCGGGGCCCGCAAGCACAGCTACGGGACCCGGCAGCCGCATGCCGCCATGCTCGCCTCAGTCCTGTTTACCTGCGTCGGCAAGGTCAAGGGACAGACTACGCCTACGCCGACGGTGCCGGACTACAGCTTCTACATCTGCCTGCTGACGGTCACGCTGGTCCTCGGCAGGACTATGGGTTTCGGCATCTTCATGACGCTCTGGACGATCATGAGGCAGAACAACATGATCGCTACCGAGGAGCACGTCGCTGAGGCGAAGGCAATGGGCGAGCATCCCGGCTGGGACGGCCGCGTGATTGGCCGGCGCCGTAACATTCCAGCTACAATCCCCGAGGATCGTGACCACGACGGCGACATCACCATGTACCCCTCGGATGGACACAGCAGTGCGCAGGCATCCAGTTCATCAGCATCGGCTTCAGGCGTCTCTTTCGGACACCACCCATCGCAGCCGCCGATCTCAGCACCACCGCCGCCACTGCTGCCGCCAGAACCACCGCCTGCCAGCGCACCACCTACCGCAACAGCAGCACGATCGAGGTCAGCGAGATCTCAGAGTTCGGGTTCAGCCCCTACCTCACCAAGCATAATCACCGTATCGAGTTCATCGAGTTCAATATCTGCGAGTGTGGTTTCCTCACCAACGGTATCGTCGAACGAGATGCTCAACTGTGTGGCCGCCGTCCCCCGCCATGGTTTTATCTACATTACCTGCAAGACCTGCAAGGAACACTAGTCATGGCTTCCCCGGCTCTACAAGAACAGCAATCCCAATTTCACGAACTTCCCCGAAGGCGTGATGAATGATCTCATGGGCCATTGGAGGAGGCTCACCGGCAGAGACTGCTGGCGCAGACCTGACCTGATGGACAAACCCACGAAGCCCAAGAAGGAATAATGAATCCCGCTTAGTGTCCGGACGGCAGGTTGGCCGGTCGACCCAGCTAATATTCTGCTGCTGTTGCTGCTATAGACGGTCGCCTCTTGCGACCCCGCTTACGTAATTCCGCATTGTTGCTCCGTTTGCACACCCGGCTAGAGGTTGATGTAAATCCGTATTGCTGCTCAGTTTCCACACCCAGCTAAAGATTTACACGAAAAATCCGCATTTAGAGAAGCTTCATTCAATGTGCACAGTTTTTTTGCAAAGCGGTGATGACGATCGCACCAATTCAGATCTTATCTCGATAAGATAGTTCCCAACCATCCTGTGGTGTTGGGTCCTCGTTTTGAAGAGACAGCGCCCCGCGTCTCCTCCCTTCCTTGATTCCTTCCTTCCTTCCTTCCTTCCTTCCTTTTCCCCCCTCCTCCCCACCCCCCCCCTCCTCCTGCCCGCATGCGGTTCCTCCACCCAGGGCAGCGCTTCGTAGCCCCATAGGGAGCTCCACCGAATGCCCCAATGGGGGTGCCCGCATGCGGTTCCCCCACCGAGGGCAGCGTTTCGTAGCCCCATAGGGAGCTCCACCGAAGGCCTCAGTAGGGGTGCCCGCATGCGGTTCCCCCACCCAGGGCAGCGCTTCGCGGTCCCATAAGGAGCTCCACTGAAATCCCCAGTGGGGGTGCCCGCATGCGGTTCCCCCACCCAGGGCAGCGTTTCGTAGCCCCATCGGGAGCCCCACCGAAGGCCCCAGTGGGGGTGCCCGCATGCGGTTCCCCCACCCAGGGCAGCGTTTCGTAGCCCCATCGGGAGCTCCACCGAAGGCCCCAGTGGGGGTGCCCGCATGCGGTTCCCCCACCCAGGGCAGCGCTTCGTGGCCTCATAAGGAGCTCCACCGTATGCCCCAGTGGGGGTGCCCGCATGCGGTTCCCCCATCCAGGGCAGCGCTTCGTAGCCCCATAGGGAGCTCCACCGAAGGCCCCAGTGGGAGTGCCCGCATGCGCTTCCCCCACCCAGGGCAACGTTTCGTGGCCCCATAGGGAGCTCCACCGCAGGCCCCAGTGGGGGTGCCCGCATGCGGTTCCCCCACCCAAGGCAGCGCTTCGTGGCCTCATAGGGAGCTCCACCGTATACCCCAGTGGGGGTGCCCGCATGCGGTTCCCCCACCCAGGGCAGCGTTTCGTAGCCCCATAGGGAGCTCAACCGAAGGCCCCAGTGGGGGTGCCCGCATGCGGTTCCCCCACCCAGGGCAACGCTTCGTGGCCCCATAGGGAGCTCCACTGCAGGCCACAGTGGGGGTGCCCGCATGCGGTTCCCCCACCCAGGGCAGCGCTTCGTAGCCCCATAGGGAGCTCCACCGAAGGCCCCAGTGGGGGTGCCCGCATGCGGTTCCCCCACCCAGGGCAGCGTTTCGTAACCCCATAATAGAGAGCTCCACCGAAGGCCCCAGTGGGGGTGCCCGCATGCGGTTCCCCCACCCAAGGCAGCGCTTCGCGGCCCCATAGGGAGCTCCACCGAAGGCCCCAATGAGGGTGCCCACATGCGGTTCCCCCACCCAGGGCAGCGCTTCGTAGCCTCATAGGGAGCTCCACCGAAGGCCCCAGTGGGGGTGCCCGCATGCGGTTCCCCCACCCAGAGGTAGCGCCACCGAAAACGATATTCATATTTGCGGTATTCACAACTGCATATGGTTGGGTCCTTCGCCAGGCTAAGTTGTTTTTGCGTTCTGTCGCTTCGCGATCGAACTCCTGCTAGCCTTGCCTAATTTCGGCGCTAAGAGCTGACAAGAATATCCTGCAGGTCGCGTGTAGCGCATCCGCTTAAGTGCCCCAAAGGCTGCCTGCAATGCAAGCCGTGTCGAGCCGTTTGCTCGCCTTCTGCCAGCACGCCTGGCACTCCGCTTAATGAAGAACCAGGCTTATATGCCCAGCTGCTCTGGCGCCTCAGCCTCTTGCGCCCGTGCACCGTGCAGGAGGAGTGTGATTCCAGAAGACTCGCTGCTCTTCTCACCCGCTCTCTGCCGCCGCCCATTTGGCTCTAATCATTTCCCAGGGCCCTGGGCCTTAGAGCTACGCAGTTTGATTGAGCAGCGCTCTCATGCGACAAAGATTGCCGCGCCGCGCGCGCCATCCATATCACAGCGGGAACGCTGGGCTCGGACAAAATTGAGACACCAGGACCTCAGGGCCGTCTGGGAGGTTTTCTGGGTCTTCCCAGACATGCAATGTCCTGTTTTCTCCTATACGGACTGCCCAGAACTCCTGGCCCTTTCGCCGGGACCGATTGTTTTATCCTGAAGCGTTTTTTGACGGGCCGGG